CCACCAAGATTAAAAAAATATGTAAATAACAAAAAGGACAAATCCACATTATCATCAGGAAATTTAAAAGGCAGAAAGTAGCTCATAGGGTGTTCGTAAAAACTAAGAAAAAAATTATTTTAAAGGTAATTTTTTTTTATAAATTTAAAATTTTATTGAGAGAAATTTAAATTTTAGTTTTTAAAATAATTTTTATGGAAATTTTGAGAAATTTTATAGGAAAAACACGTTTTTAGTAGTTTCGTCCCAAGTTTTCATTTAATTGAGTGGAAACCAACTTTCGTATCTTACATTCAGACTAAACCCAAAGCCCCGCAGCCATCTCAATTGGGTGCCAACTTCCCCAGTCAAACTTCTGGAATCCCATTCATATACAATTAATTAAAAATCGAAAGCTTTAAAACAAAATTGCAGAAAAAATAAAATAAAATAAAATAAACTTTGAAAAGAATGAAATGGGGATTGGCAGAGAGTTCATCAAGAATTCTTCGCATTTCAGGACTATGGAGCTAAGAGAGAAAATTAGAGTAAATGTGCAAATAAAGATATCAACTTTGCATTTTTTTTATTTATTTAAGGATATTAATTTTGTCAGTTTTTAAATAAAGATGTTAACTTTCAATTTTTTTCTAAATAAGGATGTCAACTTTCAATTTTTTTTATTTAAAGATGTCAATTTTTAACTTTTTCTATTTAAACATTGATTGGGTAGTGATGCTGACGTGACTAACATATTTTTTTAAGGTTAAATACCTAAATTGGTCCCTCAACTTTTATATTTGAATCAATTCATACTTGAACTTTAGAAAGTACTGAAAACATCCTTCAACTTCAATTTTCTTTTCCGTCAATTAGGTGCTGATGTAACTAATTTTTTCATTAAGTGATTGACTATTTTACATTTTCAATATTAGGTGGAAAATCTATTATGTAAAAGATGATTATTTGGATTTTTTAATTTTAAATAATTTAAAAACTACTTTAATTCTTAATTTTACTTTATTTATATTTAAAAATTAAAACAATTAATATATTTTCCCATTTAA